TTTTTTTTTTTTTTTTTTTTTTTTTTTTTTTTTTTTTTTTTTTTTTTTTTTTTTGAATGATTTGGTATAAATGGTGGGAATTTGAAGGTTGCCGGAGAAATGAACAGGCCGGGGGATTGGAACTGCAGATCATGCCAGCATCTCAACTTCCAACGGCGGGAGTGCTGTCAACGCTGTGGCGAATCCAGATTCCTGGCTGACCTTGGGCTCTTTGGCGGCGGCGGCGGCGGCAGTAGAGGAAGAAGCATTTCGTCCTCCTCCTCCTCCTCGTACGGTGGAGTTGCCTCCCCGGGCTCCGACGTCCGTCCTGGAGACTGGTACTGTGGCGTTGCCAACTGTGGAACCCACAACTTTGCGAACCGGTCGAGCTGCTTCGTATGCGGCGCGTTTAAGGATGAGTCAGCAGCGACGGCTGCCAGAGGTGGGTTTGATTTTGATGTGGCGCCACGTGGATCGAGGAGCTTTGGTTTTGGAAGCAATGGCTCACGTGGTGGGTCTTCTTGGAAGTCTGGTGACTGGATTTGTTCCAGGTCATTTCTTTTTTACCCTTTTTTTTTTTTTGAATAATAGTTAATCTATTTAAAAGGTATAATATATTATAATTTACAATAATTTCTAAATCAGCTATCAAACACCCATTTTTAACCACGAAATAATAATTAATTAATTGTGTCGATGGGTCATTACAGGTCAGGATGCAACGTACATAACTTTGCGAGTAGAATGGAGTGTTTTCGATGCAATGCTCCCAGAGACTCGTTCTTCTGAAATATCGAATTTTCATCAAAATTTTCTATATTTTTCTTCGAATATAATAGTACATAGTTTAGTTCGTATCATTTTTCATTTGATTTTGATTGTAATCTCTCGAGTTAGAGTGATATTGAGTTGTATTTTAGCTTTTCTTAATCAATTTTATGGCAAGGAATTAATCTCCTTTTTAGAATAAAAAGTGTTTTTTCTCTACCAATCAAATTTTATTTGACTTTAATGACAGTTAAACTGATAAACAAGATAATATCATAATTTATAAAGTGAATTTCATGAGCATTCAACTTGTTTGATTTGATAATTATTTATATTACTACTAAAAAGTGCTTTTAAAAAGTAATTTTTATTTATCACTTTTACTTTTATTAAAAAATAATTAAGTAGATAATTAAACAAAAAAAAAAAAGAATTATGCTAGGGTACTTACAAATATAGTTTATAAAATTAGTTGCTAAATCGGACATAAAAATGTAATATTTATACCTTTTATTCTGGAATATATAGAGGTAAGATTTATTTAATAAAAAATTAAAACTTAAAAAATACATTTAATTTTTTAAATAAAAAATAAAAAGATACTTTTACTTTTAGCGTACAATTAAAAAAATATGCATAAATTTCTCATCAACTTCTCAAAATAATATTAAAACATTGAAATATAATATATGAGGGGTCATAATTTTCTCCCATGAATTTTTTTTTTAATAAAGTTAAAAAGAGTGTTAATACTACTTTTAAATTTTTATTGGTATTTTTTTTTTAAACGTAGTACGGACCGATAGTGCACTTTTGAACTTTTTAAAATAGTTGAAGAGTATTAATAAAACTTTTTAACGTTTAAGGGTATTTTTGAAACATTATTAAAAGTTCGAAGGTGTTTTTAAAATAAAATACTAATGATTTTCGATCGCAATTAATAATAAATATATTTTATAGTCTCTACTTTTAAAGTTTAAAGGTATTTTGAAAAATTTTAAATTACTTATTTTTTATTTTTTATTTAAAAAAAAAAAAACCTTTTAAATTACTATTTAGAAGAAGAAAATTAAGGAAAGAATGGAGGTCTTATATAAGAAGAGACTCCAAACGGTTCAAACATTAGACCGTGAAACGAGTCGGAAGGCGAAGCGACATACTCAAAATCGAAGCGGCTACTTCCGATTATGATGGGAATCCGTCGTTGAATCTCACGGCGGAGGCCTTTCATCTTCTCCGCTGTGGTTTCCGATCAACGCCTAGGGTTTAACTCTGTAAATATTGTACAAATGTCTCTTATACCTGTCAATTAATTGGATGTATCATTTGCCATTTCAAATTTCATCGATTTCTTCAAAACTTGTGGACTTGGGGCTTGGTGTCTCTTCTGGAAGTTTTGGACAGTTCTTCATCAGGTATCTCTCTGAGTTTTCCATTCTTTTGCGCCAAATTTGGACTCCTCAACTTTAGCTGCATGTGTCAATTTTTTATTCGCTTCCGATTTGAAGATATTGACAATGTACAGAGATTTAAGCGATTTGTCTATTGTTACTTTTGGAAAAGAAATGTTGCTTAGAACCTACTGTTTTTATCAGTTCAAAGAATTTGAAACTTGAAATTGGATGGTTTGGCCCTTGAAATGAGTGATCCTTATCCTTTTCACCAAGTTACTCCTCCAGACCATGAGGCTCGTGGCGTTTGGCCGCCATTGCGTCCTCCGCCATTGCCTCCTCGATATACTGTTGGTCGATTCCCATCATTTTATCAGCCTACGATGTCGGAAATTGTACCGAGTAGGGTAATGCCTTCAAATTTTGAGATTCCACAATGGAACAATGTGCACATTGGATTACATGACAATGAGTTGGAGTGGAGATATGCACTTGCTTCTAATGATCATACTCGTGGATGGTTACCTTCTTGGCGAGGAATTGAATTCCATGAAAATCGATTACCAGAGTGTCCGATTGTTAACAGTCGGACTGGAATGTCGACTGAAATGAAAGTTTGCAGACAATTCCAACGTAGGGGGAAATGTGCATATGGTGATCAGTGTCGTTTCCTTCATAAAATTCCTGAGAACACTAAGGATTTTGGCTCCTCCAGCCAGAACCATGAGGTTAGAGCAGTAGCTTCTGGTCATGTTATGGATGGAAAAAGTATGTTTGATCAATTTGAAGAAGTCAGATCAAAAGTACAAACGAAAATTGTTGCCCGCAGTGAGATTCCAATGCCTGTAAATTGCAAAACAAGGCTCTGTTACCTCTGGCAGACAACTGGTCACTGCTCATATGGGGAGGTTTGTCGCTTCGCTCATGGAGAAGCAGGTATTTACAGCCTTTGAGTCTACTAATCTCTTTCGTTTCCAGTACCATGTCATATGCTTTCAAGTGATTTATCTATTTTCTTTTCCCATTTTCTTATCCATGCAAGTTATTTCATAAATTACTTAAACTTTTTGGGATAAATAACCTGCCTTGATTCAAATGAATCCTCTTTCCTTTTGAGTTTTAATAACGAGGTGAGAGATTCGAATGTTTGACCGCTTGGTAAAGAATATATGCCTTAAATCTTAGCCTTTTTGTTGGGTGATTAACTTTTGTAGGGGGAAGGGGTTCTATTTGCATAATGAAAATGGTGGGCTATATAGACTTTGAGACCTTTCTAAGCATAGGTTAGATATTGTTCCTCAGAACATGGAAACATCAAACGTTGATTACTTAACCATACATATAAATGAACATTCTAACACTGTAAGATGCAATGTCAACCATGTGGATATACTCATTCATAAATGGTGATTGACGTGTTCATGAAATCAAAACCTGGTTATTGCCAAACTACATGCATTGATATTGCCCTTGTCTTCTTTGTTTTGGGGGGAAAATAGAATTACAGAAGCTCGAGTCGTGCAGTACATCAGAACGTGGCAGAGTAGGTGGAGCCTCTGCAACAACTAAAGCTGCTGCCGCGGCTGGATTAAGGTGCAGCAGAGGAATTGGAACCGACTGTAAGAATAAAGGATCATCAAGAATGAAGCAACTCTTTAAATCAAAGGAGCATAAGAAGTTGATTGGCATTTACGCTGACTGGCTTGAGAATTGAGTATTCTGCATGACTTGCAGTACAAAGATTTGACCAAATACTACTGGGGCGTGTTCCAATTCTCACAAGTGGCTGAGAACATTAAGGTTCTTCTAGAACCCCCCAAGTGCATTTTGACATTTAAATGAATATAGGAAAATAGATATTGTTCTTAACAAGAATATGATTTTTTTTTTTTTTTTTTTCATTCACAACTTTGGAATATAGATATATGGTATTGCATCTCTCAAACTGACAGAGATGGAAATAGAAGTAGAAGTTTGAAGATTTGAAGTCTTATGTCTAAATGAAAATTGTTTCATTCATAAAGGATTTTAGCCGACCATTGAAATGATTGATAATAGTTATAGTTACCAATGGTAATAGACTGTGATTCTATCTTTAGATATTAGCCTACTACTTGTTAGAATTGAGGAGGGACATAAAATGGTTATCTAATGTTACATTATTTTTAAGCATCGGTAATCATTTCAAAAGACAGATGCTTCGTTCTTCTAACTTTCATTGTTTCAGTTTGGGTCATTTTCAATAAAATTGAGTAGATTAAATCTTGTTTTCAAATTCATTATGATTATGTATTCGGAGTTTTGTGATACAAAATTTATGAAGCTAAATGGATTTTTAGCAGGAAGAATGAAAGCATGCCACGTTTTCCACTATCAAGCTGAAATTATCTATGATTTCGCTTGACAAGGTGAAGAAGTTGAACTTATAGCATTCATGTATGCAAAACATTTTCAAATTTCCTACATTAATCAACATTTTGACAAACCACAAATCTACGTTTTCTGTTGTTCAATGATTTTAGAAGTAAATTAGAGTTTTAATTTAGTACAAGATGATTTATTGGATGAGTTAAATTCATATCAACAAGAAGAAGTATGTGATTTTGCTATAAAATTATATGATTCTTTTTTTCAACATGGTCATATTTGGTAAGACTTCTTAGAATTTCAAAATACATTTCTTTGTCATCCATTTCTACCAAAGATAATAGATATATATATAACAAAAACTTTTAAAAAAAATAATATTAAATAAACATTTTACAATTTTTATATTGAAAATTTTGTTATTAACATGGGAAGGAGTGAGAGTGAAAGAGAAAAGGAGAGAGAGAGAGATGAAGTTTCTCAATATATGTATAGATTCAATGGAAAGTAAGATTGACTGATATTAAACCCATTGTGTTGTGAAATGTAAGGGCAGAATAAGAAGTCGGATAGTTTAGCCCACACAATCCAAATCCAAGTTGGTGGGCTGAACACACCTAAGTTATTTAATAGACTTCTATCTTCAAATATAATAATTTACTCACCTCCGGAAGGCATTCACTTCGGTTTGACGACGTATGCTCAAATTTTTGACCCTTGATGAGAAGAAAGTTTTTTAACTTTTGACCCCTGACGAGAAGAAAATTTTTAGAAAACTGTAAAGAGTTTGAAAGTAAAATTAAAAAAAGTTGTAAGCAATGCTATAAGTTGTAAGCAAGAAAGTTACCGCAACGACTTAAATAGCATAAAAGATTTAGCAACTAGTCGCATACTTCTATAGTATATTTTGGAACATTTCAAGTCTACCAAATATAGACATAACATCTTACACTTAAAAAATACAAAAAAGAAGCTATACATCATAACAGTGGTAAAGGAAAGCAATAGAGCGATACAACACAAGGAGTTTGACATGCAACGGACACGCGGCCATTGCAACACGCCTTAGACAAACATGACTGTAACACCTCACACTTCCACTTCTTTCCCCGCTTTCTCATTTGGTTCTTCCCCTTTTCCAGGTTTGCAGAAACATCTCCAACTAAGCTCCATCTTCAATGTAACACTCAGCCTCTAAGCTCCTCCATTAACCCCTGTTCTTCAAAGAATACGAGTTCAGAAGACATCTAAGCAAAACAATAATAAGAATGATCAAGGTTTACGGGGATTCCCACCCGTGAGATGTATTGCTCAGCATCAGTACGTTTAAGAAAA